AATAAAAAATTTATATCTTTATGTTTGAAGCCTGAAATGTGGCAAAAGGTTGAAAAGTTCAAGGGGGCCGAATACTTTCGCAAGGCACTGTATGTAGAAGTAACCTAACCATAGTCACTCAAAAATATGGAATTCCCAATTATTTTTCTATTGTATGCCCTCTTCATTTGGAATCATCAGTTGTTGATGACCTCAGCTTACTGGTGGAACCCTCCACCATGCACACTGGCCAGGACCATTCATTATTTCACATGCTGAGAACTCACAGTGCCTCATGGGAGAAGGTTCCTCTGTCCAGCTCAGTCCTACCTGTCTTTAAGCAGTGCCACTGACTGGCCAATCGTTTAGTGCCACTTGTGATCATACAGTCATACAGTCATACAGCTGCTGAACTCAGATATTGAAATTCTGTCTCCAAATGAAGGAGGTACATTAATTTAGAGGCTTGTTGGAACTCCTTTAATAATAATAATAATCATCATCATCATCATCATTATCATCATCATCATCATCATTCCTTACACTTATATAACACTTTCCTGGACACTCCACTCAAAGCACTTTATAAGTAATGGGTACTCTCCTCCAGCACTGCCAGTGTGTAACCCCCACCTGGATGATGCGACGGCAGCCGTAGTGCGCACAGTATGCTTCCCACACACCAGCTCAGTGGGGAGGAGAACAGAGTGATGGAGCCAGTTCATAGATGGGGATTATCAGGAGGCCATGATTGGTAAGTCCCAGTGGGAAATTTGGCCAGGACGCCGAGGTTACATCCCTACTCTTTTTGAGAAACACCATTTTAATTACCACAGAGAGTCTGGAACTTGGTTTTATGTCTCATCCCAAGGATGAGACGGACCTGTAGGCATAGTTACATCCCAAGGTGCCTTTTTACAGTATAGTGTCCCCGTCACTATTCTGAGGCATTAGGATCCACACAGACCACAGGGTGAGCACCCCTCTAATACTGTTCCAGGAGCAACCTTAGCTTTTCCAGGAGGTTTCCATTCCAGGAAGTGACCAGGCTTACACTTTTTCTTACCTTCTGTCTATTGTGAGTTGCAGGGTCATATGGCTGCTGGCCAAACATGTTTAATGGTAGCTGAAAGATGTGTTTAATAAATGTAGAATAAGTATCACTGAGAAACAAGTATAGTTTAACAAATAACATTTATTAGACTTACGAACTGAGTGAATAAATATGTTGTCATACATTGACTACTAATGTCTGCAATTGTCATAAGGATTGGTCTTGATACTGTATATCCCAGAATTGCATAATCTTCTCTGAAATATTGTTCAAAATAGCACAACAGAACACAACACATGCAGTTAATGTCAGAAAGAAGTAAGAAAAAAACTACATTTTTCTATGTTTGTGTAATCTGAAAATATGGTAAGCAAATAATAAATCATGTTGCAATTAAAATGGGATTCTCTTACATTGTGTTCTGTAAATTCAGAACCACTTTGAATATAAAAAAGGTGGAGGGGAGAAGCGAAAGGCATATTTGGTACAGTTTGCTACTTCTGTGTAAATTTCTTTTCAAAAGTATAGATGTGTTTACCCTTTACTCATTAAATGTTTTTTGGTATTTATTTCAGGTTTTATTAGAATAATATAACATTTTGGCAGAAAAACACAGAAGAGTAATCCATAACTTGAAGCTAAAATTGCAAATATTTCCACAGCTACTGTGAACTTACCAGGGGAGCTGATATAAGCTGGGATAAAGGTGATCCAGACAGCACAGAATATGAGCATGCTGAATGTAATGAATTTGGCTTCATTGAAGTTATCAGGCAGCTTCCGAGCCAAGAAAGCGAGCACAAAGCACATGGCAGAGAGGAATCCTATATACCCTAACACAGCCCAGAATGCACCTGCAGATCCCAGGTCACACTCCAGAATTATTTTTTCTTTATAGTATTTTACATTCTTATTTGGAAAAGGAGGTGTAATTGTCAACCAAAGAACACAAATGAAGACCTGTATGAGGGTAAAACCAAGAACACTTAAGCGCTGCTGTTTAGGCCCAAACAATTTCATGATGTTATTCCCTGGCAGTGTAGCCCTAAAGGCCATTAACACCACTATTGTTTTCCCCAGAACACAAGAGATGCACAGGACAAATGTGATCCCAAATGCTGTGTGGCGCAACATACAGGACCAGTCAGAGGGCTGGCCAATGAAAGTAAGTGAACAGAGGAAACAGAGAGTCAATGAAAAGAGCAGAAGGAAACTCAGTTCAGAGTTATTGGCTTTAACAATTGGAGTAGATCTGTGGTGAAAAAAAATAAGAGCTATCACAATGGTTATGCTGCTTCCCAAAACAGAACAAGTAACTAGAAGTACTCCCATTAATTCACCAAAAGATAAAAACTCAATGTTTTTTAAGACACATTGAGATCTTTGTTCATTCGATCTGTACTCCAAAGGACACGCGGTGCACTCCACTGAATCTAAAAAGCAAATACAAAATACCATATTTTTATATTTCTTTATCATCTAAATCCACTTGCATATGTATTAGATACTATACATATATGTTAATGTTAATTATATGTATCATGTAAAAACAGCCAAAACATTTTATGTAATCATATCTAAGTCCTGTTTTGTAGCTTGTGTTGCAGCACATGACTGTACTATAATGTTAATAATGTCTGAATATTATTTTATCTTCTTTTCATACATTAGTTGAGTAATCAAAATTTAGGAATCCTTGTGAATAAAAGAGTTCCTAGAATTACACAGATATGAAGGAGAATATATGACAGAGAAATTGCAGAATTTTACAGCTTCCTCTTACATTTTACCTAAGTACAGATGTTTATTTTAAGTAAAGTTTTGTTGGATTAAATACAAGGAGCTGGAAATTACATTTAATAACTCAAATTATTTTCTACTGAAAACAAAATACAAATAAAGAAGGTGGCAGGAGATGCTTTTTTAACCTTCAGGCTCAGTTTAGATGTGGAATGAAGTGAAAAATAAATGCAGTCTTCAGTATGAGAAAAGCAAAAGGAAATGAACCCAGCATTATTGCATAAAAAGGAACAACTAAAGATTTATTCCATGCTGAAAAGAGAAGAAAAGAAAAACAATGTTTCAGCTGTGGAGCCTTCCTCAAAATATTGTGTTTCTTTTCTTGTTTAAACCTTTACTTGTTCTTCTGCAGCCTACACATGCAAACGCAGCGGCCTACTTGAACTATTGCATAAATGCCATCAAGGCAGAATTAAAAGTGTTTAAAGACAGATGGTCTGACTACTTGTCTTACTGCTACCAAGCCAAAATCACGTTAGTTGTCATTATGAAGCAATGACAACTAACGTTTCCTTAGATTCATATATTACCTGTAGTGTTGCTGAACTCTCCCTCTGCACAGGGGATGCAGACAAAGCAGCAGACTGGCTTCCCTTTCTCAATGGCCTTACGAGTCCCTGGAAGGCAGCTCTCACTGCAGACTGACTTCGGCATCTGGAAAAAAGCAAAGTTGAGTTAGACCTGTTCACAGATGTATTTAAAACAACAACAGGTGAGTTATAAATATTGCACAGCGGTACAAAGCACTGCCCCCTCCCACCCACCCACCTTGGAATACAGTTTGTAACAAAACCCTCATTTGTACACCATATTTTGTGGCCATCTCTATCAAAGGATTGGGTTAACTACTATAAGTGACATGAAGTAAGTGTATGATGTGCAAAAACAAGAATGCCAATGTCACCCCTAATATTCACTCTCTTGCTTCCTCTCTCATTATAAAAGCCCTGTTTAATGTCACAGTATTATGAATCTGAATTTCTTACCTTATTTTGATCACCAGCCCAAACTGGATTGACGCCATTCATTATAAACTGTTGTCCTTCAGCTGAAGAGCCATCATATAGACCAATAATTTCAAAAGCTGTGATTCCCTCCTTATTCTGCTGCCAGTTTACTAATGAATATCGTGCAAGTGGATCTCCATTTTCATCAAAATGCACATTCTCTCCATTCCGAGTTGTGAAGTTCACTTTCGCCAAATGCTGTAGCACCTATCCATAAATAAGCATCATTAGAGTCTTTGTATTGCATTTAATTTCTAATAATGTGAAAAATAACACATTTCGTTACCTGCCATGGTTTGACATCATTTTTATTGGCACATGTTTGTTTATCAAAAGGTCCTTTTCTATGGCTGCATACTAACAGATTGTGCAGTGAATGAGCTACAGCATACACTGCTTTGTACACATTGTTTGATATCCTCAGTTCTGATACATCAGTGTATTCATTATTTATTTCCTCCAATGTCTCTTTTCCTGTACATGGCTTCAAATTTTCATCATTTTCGGAAGTTAGGCTACAGCTGAAAAAACTCTCCCAGAATTCAGTTAAGCCAGTGTTTCCAGGTGTATTAGAAGGACGAGCATTTAGAATGAATTCTTTTAGTCCTGGTATCTTTGCATTTGGAATTGCAAATCCAATGGCTCCACCCAGGACTTTATAACCTTCTTTTGAAGCGAGGTTGCTGTGTGTAATCCACGATTCACTGCCCACCCACTGTAAACCTGTTACATTCTGATTGAATAATTCATTGACTAATAATTCCATATCAGCATAAATTGTGAAAGCAACAATTACTCTTGAAGTTGACTTTTTCACAATATCTACAACTTTAAGAAATCTTTCTCTAGGATCAGATCTGAAAATGGCCTCTGAATATTCAATACAGATCCCCTCCTCCTGTGCAGCTTGTACAAAAGTTTCCATCCCACTGTTGCCATAGGCATCATTACTTCTAATGGCCCCAACCCAAGTCCATCCAAAGTGCTTCACAAGCTTTGCCAGGGCTCTGCTTTGGTAATAATCACTGGGAATTGTCCTGAAAAAGCTGGGGAACTCCTTTCTGTTACTGAGACAGGCACATGAAGCAAAATGACTGATCTGCAATAATGAAAAGGAAGTAAAGTTAAAACATGAGACATGCATCTTACATTTTGAAGGAATATTTTATAAATTATTTATTCTGATTTCAATTGGTAGAAACATTAAATTACAAGGTTGGATTCCAACAAGGAGAAGCTATTTAGCCCATACAGCTTATCTGATAGAAAGAAGATTACAATAGTAGTATTTGTTCTACTTATTTTTTTCTCTGTTTATCTGTTTCTACTTATCTTTCTATTATCTGTTTGCCTCATAACATTTAATGATACTTGTAACAATAATATGTATGATATTAAGAACATCATCCAAAAAATAATAATATAATAATCGCTGGGAATTGTCCTGAAGAGGCTGGGGAACACCTTTCTGTTACTGAGGCAGGCAAAGGAAGCAAAGTAACTAGTCTGAAGCAAAGAAAGTTGTGGTAAAATAAAGGGAAAGATCTATCTTTGTTAATTTTAAACATGGTGATATAGAAAATATCTTCAAAATAAAATTGTTAAAATACAAAATAGAAAATCAGAACAATTTGAAACTCACATATTAAACTCAACACATATATCTGTTATTTAAAATCCATTTATTAACAAGCACATCTTGCCTGTTAATTGATTCTATAAATGGCAATTCCTTAAAGATTGTTAATTGTTAATAAAAGGAGGTAAAATGAAAATGTGAGACGTATATTCTACATTTGCAAGTGATCATTTTCAAATTATTTTGTGAGATGATATTGATTGATGGTCACATAAAATTGCAAAAAAAAAGTCTCCAACAAGGAGAGGTACAGTGTAGAATTTGTAGAATGAACATTACAGTGGGTAGAGAATTGGAAATACTTTTACCCTTTAAATTTTAAATTGATCAAGAAACATTTAATCAGATTGACTCCAAGGAATGCGCTACATGTAGAGTACCTAGTCTTTTTTAGTTTTGAACTCAAAAGGCACTGAAAACGGGAACATGCATCTAAAACTGAGAGCAGAATCAATTGAGAATAGAGAACATTTTTAGCTAGATGGGCTAAACAGCACCCTTTGTTTGTAACCTTTCTTGGTTTGAGAACAACAATAATTTTCTTCATCATCATTAGACAATATCAGTAAAAACAAAAACATTTTGTTTTACTCAGATTTTCCTCATTGTTTAAGAATTAAGAAGAAATTCATTCTCACCACTGGCATGTGAAAGGGTCCAACAGTTGCTGCCATTCCTATTGTTGGTGTCGAGCTAGAGTGTCCGATGATGGCGTGGACAGTTGATGGTTTGTCACAAGACTGATTAGAAAGATTTTTTTCATTTCCATTCATTAAATCTAAAGATGCTTTTATAGACAGTGGTACAGAACGACAAGTATCATATATCTTATAACCCAGAGACACATCAGGAAGAACATCAGAACTGTTATTTACTTCTTCAATGGCAAAGATCATAGTTTGAGCAGACCGTAATTCTCCAAGATTTAAGCTAACAGGAAAATGACAGCAAATATTAGCAAGTGTAAGCATTGCTGTAAAATAACTGATATTTTTCTGACAAATTAATCAACTTTGTCTTCATTTAGTGGGAAGAATTTATATTATTCTTACAAATTTCAACTATTGTGCTACTTTGCTCACAATCATATTAAATTACACTTTCACGCTCACATACTATATAAACAGTAACATATTATTTCTCAGTGAATGATCTAAAGTGTTTTATTTTTCTGAGCAAGTGATGACTTACCTTTCACATCTGATATTCCCCGGGATGTTTGTAAATGTCAGGCTTTTAATATCAGTGTTTTTATGCATTCCAAATATACCTCCGATTAGAATGTCCCCATCTTTTGAAAACTGAGGATGTTCTTGTGTGCCGTAAGGCTGACAAACTGGGTTTGCATCATTTATGAACAAAGCAAATGATAATGTTACAAGCAACATTGCAAACCGTCTTCTCCTTATTGTTCAGAGCTCATGCACATTAACTGAAGGCTATTATATACTGAAACTCAAATCCTTAGAGCTTAGTATGAAGCACTAATCAAACTTACACCAATACTCGAATTCTTAGGTGTGGGCTCAAGTGACTTTATCTGCCTGGGGAGAAGACAAAGCACAAAACTCTCTAGTGGGTCTGAACCAGTAGAAGTATTTGTCTCTAATTGTTTATTTATATCATGCTATGTGCCTCAGTCTTCTGGAAATGGTATTTTAATTGATTTGCATTGTTGGTTTTGTTTTTGGGAAAACTTTCAGAATACACTGTATGAGGCGCATCTCTTTCAATGTAATTGGCTACCAACACCCTTCATGGTGTGACAGGTGGAAGGGATTTCCCACTGTGCACCACTAGAGGGCCATCTCACTGTCCCCTCTCTATCTAATTCCTCATAAGAATGTACTGTATATCAGCACCACCTGGGGTTTTCATTAGAAACCCTATATTACATTCTCACACGATCTCCCCGTGTTCGCTTCAAAACCATGGCACCAGCTGAAAGGCTGCAGAAGCCCTTTTTCTTCAGAGAAATCGTCACACTCTAGTAGATTCTCGCTACTAATTATTTCCTTGCAGGCTGAAAGAACGCAAATTCCTGGTGACTACGCATTGGCTCCCTACCTCAACCAGCGGTATTGAACTGCCGCCGGTGAAAAGGCAGCCAGGAATTCCACACTGTTACAATGAGAAGTGGATTAAAGTCTCTTCCGATCATTTTGCAGTTTTATGAAAGGGCTTTTACAATGACAATACTGAATTGGTGTCTTAATGCTTTGTGTTACTTTATTATCCCAGATGGGGAAATTTGCTTTGAAGGCAGTTAAAAGACATACAGTACAGTAACACTATACCTTGAACACAACATGAACCCATTAACAATAAGATATATGTATTATGAGAATGAAAAAATAATATACAGGGAATTAAGCAGGCTAATAGCTATGGTGATAAAGATAACTTTGTTCTATTGCATTTAAACCTACTGTAGGTAGTCTAAATCAATGCCCAGATGGAAGGAGGTCAAATTCACTGTACAAGGGGTGGTCATGACAGTTATATTATATTGGAGCTTCTCGTTGAGAGACTCCATCTTTAAGGATCTGGAGCTGTTGACAATCTGTCATTTGACAAGGAACAGCTGTGAGTAATCTTACAGCAGTATTAGAAATAGGATTCACCTGCCTGCCTCCAGAGTGTCAGACAGGAGAGCTGGCAGGACACACAGAGGAAGCACAAGAGTGCTCTCCTGTCGCATATGCTGTGAGGTTGATCGCAGGTTTGAAGAAGCTGGCATTCAGCAAGGTTGTCCCCTGCGTGTGAATGAAAAGCAGACGGTATTCAGCCAGGCTGACCACTACAGTACATGTTGTGATCTGGAAGGCTAGCAGGCAAATCAATACTTCCCACTAAAACAAGTTACTCATCACTTTCCTTGGAACGGACTGTAGAAAAAGTGTCAGTTCCAGAGGGAATTGGGAGTTTAAAAGTCCTGCCGCACAACTTTAAAGCTAACCTGTTCTAAAGGCAGGGCTTTTAAACTCCCAAATCCCACAGGAATGTCTGTGGAACTGTGTGCCTGCCTGTGTGATTACAATGTAATCAATTGTAATTTACATGCTACACCATGTGCTGCACCCTGAAGCTCCATGATTGCCAGAATTGCAAAGGCAATGGCGTATGCCAACGCAATGTTGATGAGCAGACTGATGGGGCTGGCAGTTGCAATGGCTGGTGCAGAGCACAGTCTTACTGTGCACTGAACGTCTGTGGGATGTGAAACACCGCCAGTGGGGTGATACTGTATAATGGACGCCCACCAGCCATACCTTGATGGTGCAATGTGCACTCTGTGGATCAGAGCTTCTCATCCTGCCACCCTTCCATTTCTTTGCAGAATTAAATGGGAAATTGATAATCCATTTGCTGAGCAATATATTGCCATAGAGCTACTTGGAACAAGTCTTCAAGGGACTGCTAGAGCCACAAGTTGTGCATTGATAAAATTAAGTTTGTACTCCACAGAAGTCACACTGTCAAACATCGTGCCCAAATGCATATTTTTTAAAGGTTACAATAAGCATATTCATAAACACAATGCTCTTTGTGCTTCTAAATTCTTTTATTTACAAACATGACATGATGAAGGTGCAGTGTCAATCTTTTCTTCAAATGATCATTCCAAAGTCAAACAAACGAGAACAACAAAATGGCCACCAACAGTAATGCAGAAGTCAAGTGAAGGCAAGATGACCACAAACGTGTGCTTGTCAGCAGGTCCAAATAATTAAAAATGAACTTCTGGAAAGCCATGCTTCTGTATTTGGGTCATGGTTTAATTTATATCTTATATATTCTCATATACTGTTTGGGTAAACCACTGGTTTAATGGACTTATAAGGGGAAAGGGTGTCCATTACTGTTGAATGCCCATGATGACACTATTACAGTACATGAGGAAAAAAATAAATATACTATATAAGTGCTATATATCATAACAATTGAAATAAACAGGATAAGTGCGTTTGTATCATACATATACAAAATGTGCTACAGCATACCAAATATTAATAACACCAATTGTAAGCAATTGACCTATGCCTCCAGGGTACCATCGATATTTCCTGAATTTTAAACGTATGCGATATTTATTTTATTTTTACTTACTTTTTTGCATATTGTTAACATTTTAGTGTATTTTTTTTTTAAATTATTTTATTAACTTTGCTAAAGCATAGGAAACACAAACAACACCCATCGAGATTAATTTGACATCGGTACTCTTTTCAGTACATAACTTAACAATATTTTACATTCGGTGTGCTGTATGTTAATACTCATTTGTACTCGAGTTTCTTCTATCTGGCCGTTTCTTAGAATAAAACCTTGTCCATTATTTTAAGGAAAGGCCGGTATTTACACACGAAATTCAGCAGATTTCATTAAAATCAAGTCTGTTAAACTGAGGGTTAATTTTACATGAAATCTTTAAATATATAAATGTTTAATTACATTGAATATGCATATGTATATTAAGGTTGTAATGGTTGTTCCTCAAGTCTCCTGAATATGCCAACAGCCAGACGTAACGTTTTCACTTGCCAGAACTATAATCTGTAACTTTTTTCTAAAGTAATTCTGGCCTGGAGAATTAACTGCCGTTAACGCCAAAATACATACAGTACGCTTTTTCCTTCTCGCCTTCTTGCATGGGGACAAAGGGAGTTTATAGGACTGCCTACCTGGAGTTTGAAGAGGGAAAGTATCCAAACTGATTAATATTGTTTAAGAAACTGAGGTACAAGGTCTTTTTGAACCTCTTTAAAATGAATAAAGCAGCTAAGTATGATAGCTAAGAATACTACTACTAAAAAGAAAAAAAACTATTAAAAATGATTTATGTCCTTCAAAACTCACATTTAAAAAACTTTATTTAAGTGTGTGTTTTGAAGGACTGCAAGAACAAGATTTACAGTAACAAAAAAGTGTAAAAATATCTGAAAAGTTATCAGCTTAAAAAAGTCTTAAAGCTTGTCTTTATGAATAATGATGATTAGAATGCAGCAGAATGAAATACAGGTAGTTCTTGATTTGTGCAGGAGCATTAATTTGAAAAAGGAAAGCTCAAAAACTCAGAAATGTAAAATTTAGTATGAATAATAATAGTGCATTTAAACAGGGGATGCATTCTGGTTACACTTCCTGTACGAGGGGTAAACTATCACACACATTTACACAACAATCACACACATTTATTCAAATAAGATGCTGTAGTATAATTAGACCCAGTTTTAAACTTAATGCTTGTTAATGTTTATCAATTTAATATAAAACACAAGTAATGATTGGTGTGGAAAATGCAAGAGTCGTGTGCCCGTACAGCTATCTGTAGTGCTTTTACTCTCTTAGAGAAATGTTTTAGTATATTTTAAAGTCTTGCAAGTAACTGCAAATATTGTTAGATGACAATTAATTGTAGACTCTTTTATTTAATCAGTTTATTTATTGAATCTTAAGATTGATGGATATGTTTTTCAGAAATTATTGTAAAACAGCGACCATTTGTTTTAGTTTTTCTTTATTTTATTCACACAGTATCCTGTTAAAGGTTTTATTTTATTTTTTTATTAGATTTTATTTTGATTATAAACATAAGGTACATATCAAAAGACATTTTGTTTTGTTTTCCTGAGCACTGACTAGCATGTAAAAGTGAGAAATAACTTGTTCTAAATTGAAAAAATGGTATGTTGGAGTTTTATAAATCACAGGCTACCTGTATTTGGCAAGTCCAATATAATTCCAAATAGATCTCTTTCAAAATGTAGAAATATGTTAAAATTCAAATCAAATTGTGCTGTTCATTTCTTTTTATTTAATATTGGCAGTTCAAAAAAGATCTTCAAAACCAAGCAATTATAAAATGTGTTTTATCTATAATTTAAATCCGATCCATCTTCTGCCCTTTTCAATATTACATTTAAATATTGAGCAAAGTAACTATTTAATTCAAAAAGCAAAGCAACTTTTTAAGGCACAGTAGTCCACTTACTGTATATTATGGACAGTACAAATGCAGACAACAATGTTAGAGTGATTTTGAGACAATTTTACCCATCAGGTGTTTTTTGGTATTTTGTTCAGGTTTTAACAAAATAATGTAACATTTTGGCATAAATATACAGAAAAGTAGCCCATAACTTGAAGCTAAAATAGCAAATATTTCCACAGCTACTGTAAATTTTCCTGGAGAGCTGATGTACGCTGGGATAAAGGTGATCCAGACAGCACAGAATATGAGCATGCTGAATGTAATGAATTTGGCTTCATTGAAGTTATCAGGCAGCTTCCGAGCCAGGAAAGCGAGCACAAAGCACATGGCAGAGAGGAATCCTATATACCCTAACACAGCCCAGAATGCACCTGCAGATCCCAGGTCACACTCCAGAATGATTCTCTCTGCATAGTATTTCATGTTCTTGTTAGGAAAAGGAGGAGACATTATCAACCAAAGAACACAAATCAAGACCTGTACAATTGTGAATGCAAGAACACTTAACCTTTGCTGTGTGGGGCCAAACCATTTCATGATGTTATTGCCTGACAGTGTAGCCCTAAAGGCCATTAACACCACTATTGTTTTCCCCAGAACACAAGAGATGCACAGGACAAATGTGATCCCAAATGCTGTGTGGCGCAACATACAGGACCAGTCAGAGGGCTGGCCAATGAAAGTAAGTGAACAGAGGAAACACAGAGTCAATGAAAAGAGCAGAAGGAAACTCAGTTCAGAGTTATTGGCTTTAACAATTGGAGTAGATCTGTGGTGGAAAAAAATAAGAGCTATCACAATGGTTATGCTGCTTCCCAAAACAGAACAAGTAACTAGAAGTACTCCCATTAATTCTCCAAAAGATAAAAACTCAATATTTTTTAAGACACATTGAGCTCTTTGTTCATTCGATCTGTATTCCAAGGGACACCTCGAGCACTGTACTGAATCTGAAAATAAATTTGAAATAAAACAAAAAATGTCATTTTTAATGTTTTTTTTCTATATGAGGTTCACAGGATTTAAAACAGCATGACATTTTAAACTATAGGTAAATGAAAAAATGAATATTGGTTATTTTAGATTATTTTATGTCAGTTCTCTACGTTTGTCAGACTTGAAAAATCAAGCAAGACTGTAAGGTATCAAATGAGGGGACATCATAAGGCTCACTTAACTTATTAAAGTCAAATTATGCAACTTACCTGTTACATTACTGAACTCCCCCTCTGCACAGGGGATGCAGACGAAGCAGCAGACTGGCTTCCCTTTCTCAATGGCCTTACGAGTCCCTGGAAGGCAACTCTCACTGCAGACCGATCTTGGCACCTGAAATCCAGATTAAGTGTTCAAAATTATTTTGAAATGCGGTTTTGGAATACATTTCATTTGTACAATAGTGGCAAACATTCATATTTCTTATTTAGCTACAGTGAAATAATGCTTCATCTGTACTACTTTGGCCCCCCTTAAAAATGGTCAGTACTGTACAGTATGTACAGCTTCTAAAGAAGATCATTTGGAATAATTGTATCAGTTTTTGTGAGTAGGTCTACAGTACCAGTATGGTAAATACTGTATGACAATTTTCATATCGGTATAATCTGCATTTTAGGATCTTGGCATATAGTACAGTATGTTTTAAGATTTCTCCCCCACAAAATCACAGAGATGCAATATATTTTTGTCTCCCACTATATTTGCTTTTAGCATGGGAAGGATATGTTTTCAGACAGTATGAAAAAGTGAGTGAATACATTACCTTATTTTGATCACCTGTCCACACAGGCCTGATGTCATTCATTATAAACTGCTGTCCTTCTGGTAAAGAGCCATCATATAGACCAATAGTCTGAAAGATTGTAATTCCTTCCCTATTAGGCTGCCAGTTTATTAGTGTGTACCGAGCTGCTGGATCCCCATTTTTATCAAAATAGATCTTCTCTCCATCCCTGGTGGTGAAGTTAACGTTTGTCAGGTAATGCAACACCTAGAAGAAAGCAAGCAGTTATCAGTAGCAGATGGAGTTGTGTTTGGTTCTTAATAATGCAGAGTATAACATAACTGATTACCTGCCAAGGTTCTATATTGTGTTTGTTTGCACATGTATTTCCATGGAATGGTCCTTGGCCATTTCCACACATGAAAAGGCTGTGTAATGCATGAGCTATAGCATACACTGCTTTATACACATTATATGTCATCCGCAGTTGTGACACATCTGTATATTGGTTATTAATTCCCTCTAGGGTCTCTTTTCCTGTGCATGGCTCAGTCCTTGTGAGGAGTTAGACTACAGCTGAAAAAACTCTCCCAGAACTCATTCAAGCCAGTGTTTCCAGTTGTGTTTGATGGACGGGCATTCAGAATGACGCAATGAGTCTCTCAGCAATCCAGGATTCACTGCCCACCCACTGGAACTCTGTGACATTCTGAATAAATAGTTCTTTTACCAAAACTTCTATGTCTATATAAGACGTAAAAGCAACGATAACTCTTGAAGTTGACTTTTTCACAATGTCTACAACTTTAAGAAATTTCTCTCTAGGATCAGTTCTGTAAATGGCTTCTGAATATTCAATACAGATCCCCTCCTGCTGAGCAGCTTGTATAAATGTAGCCATCCCACTGTTGCCATAATCATTATCACTTCTAATGGCCCCGACCCAGGTCCATCCAAAGTGCTTCACAAGCTTTGCCAGGGCTCTGCTTTGGTAATAATCACTGGGAATTGTCCTGAAGAAGCTGGGAAACTCCTTTCTGTTACTGAGACAGGCACAGGTAGCAAAATGACTTACCTGAAGCAAAGAAAGTTTTGGTAAAAGAAATGGAAGGATGTAAGTGTCTCAATTGTTAATATGATTATAAGAAAACATTGTAAATATTATGGAAGAAAAAAAGAAAGAAATAACAAGCAACTGTATGAAACACATACAATATAGTAAACTAAACACATACAGCTGTTTGCCATAGTTATAAGTTAAATTAATTATTTTACAAGTACTGCACATCCTAAATCATTTACGTCTATTAATGGCAATTCGATTGTTATAATCTTTAACAAACTTTTACAAAATATGTTAAGCAAAGTAGAAGATAGTTCAATATTCACAACTATATTATACAGGAACTTATTTCATGCTGAAAAGCGAAGAAAGAAAACACAATGTTTCGCCCGTGGAGCCTGAAGAAGGCTTGTTTCCTTGCAGCCTACACATGCTGATGCAGCTACCCACCTGAACGATATTATACATGAAGTTTTTAGTGTAGGTGGAATGGGTTAAAAATAACTAGAAAACTATACAAATGAAAAAGAATCAGATTTGCATGTTGACTATTTTTGCATTTTAAATGTTTTTAAATTGTTTTAAATTTTTGCAGGTTTAAATGTATTTCAGGATTTGATTTTTAGATTTAAGTCCTTCAGCTGCTGGTCTACTACTGAAGAAAGATATTTGTCCAAAATGACACCAAAAAATCACAATATCAAAATAAAATACACTTTTTAAACATTTAAGCCTTGAGTTCAACATAATGACTTCCTCTTATTTCTGGGTTTTAATGTACCGTATGTTGGTAAATTAGGACAGATATGTTTAATCCTATGCAGTAATTTTCTAAGTTCAATAAAGATTTCTCACCACAGGTATGTGAAAAGGTCCAACAGTTGCTGCAATTCCTATTGTAAGAGTCGAACTGGACTGTCCTATGATGGCATGGACTGAAGATGATTTGGTGCAGGACTGGTCTGTGATAAATCCTTTTTCCTGCCCGTTCATTAAATCTAATGATGCTTTTATAGACAATGGTATTGAACGACAAGCCTCATATATCTTATAGCCCAGGGAAACAGCAGGAAGCATGTCTGATCTGTTGTTGATTTCTTCAATAGCAAAGATCATTGTTTGTGCATATTGTAATTCTCCAGGATTTAATCTGCAGGGAAAATGCTTTCAGTAATTTAACATTAGTGAATTAGTGATAAAGGCAACAAAGAAAGGACAAAAGTAGTAAATTAAGTATTAATAAGTAATAATATCAACAATTCAATACTAGCAGTTTTGGAAACATTACTAATTATTCATATTCCTTTTTAAAAATGATATACAGTATATATTTATTTTATCACTTCAAAACCACTTACCCTTCACACTGGATGTGTCCTGGGTTGACTTTAAATGTTGGTTTAACAAGAATGGGATTTTTATGGAATGAAAAAATTCCTCCTATTGTGATGTCACCTTCTTTGGAGAACTGAAGCAGTTCTTGTGTTCCATATTGCTGACAAACAGGCTTTTCAGCTCTTGAGAAAACAGCAATTAGCACTACTTCTGCAAGCAGCAACATTGCAAATGGTTTCTGACCTGTCCAGGGACAAACTGCTGTTGTTCAAGGCACTTACAGTATATACTCCACTCCAATTCTCAATTGAGACAATTGAGTCACTAGGTTCCAAGCCTTGATTCTCAGAGGCGTGTTCAAATTCGGAATCTGCCCTAGGACAGAGAGCAAAAAAATAACAATATAGGATCCCAATAGTATATTTATCAACTAATAATTGTGCACATTCATACACATATTTCATACTTCACCTCTTCTAACAATTAATCTTAATTTATCAGAATTAAATCAGTCATTTTCAGCATGATGTTATTTTGCTCTAACAATAATCTTTAACACAACATACAGTATACAGTAGCACTACATTAATGCATTATCTATAGCTATTTTTTCTCCTCACTAAAGTCACACCCAACATTTTTGGGTATGTACTGTATATATTTGCAAATTGTTATTTTGTTAACTTAAAACTTATCAAGAATGTGTTTTTAAGATAAGAATAAATATAAACCCATTTAGCCCTTTAGGTGGTACTGTAAGTATCTAATTGTTCTACATATCTCATCAACGCCTTGGTTGGGTTTTTCCTTTATCCCTTTGTGTAAAGACGTAGCTCCTGTTTTCAGTTTTAAAGGCCCTTTCATGCAATAGATTCAAGCCAGGCCCTTAACAAGGTTGCAAGTATCCATAGCTTTAGCCGGACACCTGTTTTTGTATGAAATTATGAATAATATAAAAATAAACTGAAATTTTATTGAATTTGTACAATTTATTTTGCATATTATTGTACATGCACTAAGATACATAAAATCAGTGAATTATTACTTTATAGGAATAAAATATTTTGTCAAATTCCTAAATTTAAGGAATGCCTTAAATTGTACAGTAGATTTTATTTGTAGTTCATAACAAAAGTTTGGGAAAAGAACAAGCCCTCATTCCCTCCTGAACACTGTCTTGGATTTAACCACCAACATTGCTACTCCACCCTAATGCTTTCAAGAATGCTTCCTAAACTTGGTTTTCAAATTAACCGCTACCCTAATTTTCAACATTTTCCAAAGTTCTGCTAAAGCCATCAGTTATTCATGGCAGAATTACAAATCCTGAGCCAACCCCTTCCCACTGATGCTGCTCAAATACTAATTCTGTATCCGGCCACTAGCAGTCTGAATTCAAACAAGAGATTTGATTGATAAAAAACTACTAAATCTGGATTTAACTAGACTTTAGTTCTCCAACATATCTATCACTACGAGTTACTTGTATTTAAGACAAACAAAATTCAAGCTATTTAAATTAATCAAAACTTAATAAGAGAACCATGCTTTCAGCTAAATATCATTCTGAATATGAAGAGCCTTCATTTTCAGTTCCAAAAGACCATTGCTAATCAATCCTTAACATTCATAGATGGGTTTGAGGCAAACATTGCATTCAGTTCAATCTGCTGAAATTGTGTTACAGGTTGACAGATTCTTGACTAAGCATCCAAACCATTCGGTGTAAGCTTGGGATTAAATACCTACTAACTAATCAAAATCGCCTCATCTCACTTATAATATTTCTTGTGTTCTTATTGTTTTGTATGAATGTACCTGCATATGGAGCTTCATACTGTTGCCAAAGTTCTGAGTTCTCCTTTTCATTCAGTTTCTAGAATAACCTGAGTGTAGAAAAGGTTCTATAGTGGTTGTTATGTAGTCATCTAGTGTTCTGATGCCATGATACTCCCTCAACCATGTCTGATGGTCACAATTGGTTTCCTCCATTATACTGTATATGCAGTGTTTGGTTTAGAATAATAATAATAATTGCTTATATATAGTGCTTTTCTGGACACTCCACTTATAGGTAATGGGGACTCCCCTCCACCACCACCAATGTGCAGCATCCACCTGGATGATGCGACGGCAGCCATAGTGCACCAGAACGCTCACCACACATCAGCTATCAGTGGGGAAGAAAGCAGAGTAATGTAGCCAATTCATAGAGGGGGATTATTAGGTGACCATGATTGGTAAGGGCCAATGGAAATTTGGCCAGGACGCCGGGGTGACACCCCTACTCTTTTCGAGAAACGCCCTGGGATTTTTAATGACCACAGAGAGTCATGACCTCGGTTTTACGTCTCATCCAAAGGACGGCGCCTGTTTACAGTATAGTGTCCCCATCACTATACTGGGGCATTAGGACCCACATGGACCACAGAGTGAGCGCCCCCTGCTGGCCTCACTAACACCTCTTCCAGCAGCAACCATAGTTTTTCCCAGGAGGTCTCCCATCCAGGTACTGACCAGGCTCACACCCGCTTAGCTTCAGTGGGTTGCCAGTTGTGAGTTGCAGGGTGATATGGCTGCTGGCCATATTCATATTCTGAATGTTCTTAGACAGATATGTTAAAAGTTAAACTCCAGCCATAATGAGAAACTTGTGTGGCAAAGTGGCAAAAGCCTGAAAATGTTTTACATTTAGCCAAGTCAAAGTCTGGATTTTTACCCCATTAAAATGTTAAAACAGGACTTGAAGTGAACTGTTCATGGAAGGAAGCCCTCAGATGTCACTGACTCAAGGCACTTCTATAGGAAGGATTGGGCCAACACACATAAATCTCAATGTGAGCAACTGATAAACAGTTACACAGTTCACATACTTATTCACAACTTATTAACATGAAGATTGCGAATCATTTATTGTAGGATCATTTTGTTAAATAATCCAAATAAAGCTTATGCTATTGTGTTATACACAATGACATATCATGGTATCACCTTGATATCAGTTTATTGTAATACTTAAAACTGTGTGAATTTTAAAACTGCACAAATACTCCTTAACACGCTCAAACCAATGTTTTCAGGGTGTATAATGGACCAATTAACACTGTAACAGCTAATCCAGCACTTTAAGTAAATATCTGTGGCAGAATCTGGAATATAAAATCTAGATTTATGATAGTTTGTTTTTGCTGAGGGCTTCTGGGTGAATCCCAAATGTACTACTTTTTATAAGTTTAAGGTTAATGATGGGGGAGAGTTTTTCTTGTCTAGCTTTTGTAGTGTGCTCTCACGAGGCACCAGTTCTGTAGGGTTTGGGCGTTAATGGGGACAATTATTAATTGTAGCCGTAAATCACAAAATGATTCTTTTAATGGCTTTAGAATCCAACCATGGGGTATAACTCAAACAACGCACACACACAGGTAGTAATACACAAGAATACATTTAGTAACACATAACATATGCATATAAACCTAACAGATTTTATCAAGAGGGTTATCAGAATACAAAAGGTATATATTCAAAGAGTTACACATATCAAGAGGACATACGTTCGGTATATCATTCATTTAGATCATTTTGTAAATGAACTTGGTCACAACCTCTACACTAGATACTCAAAACAAATACATAACTCTTAGGAATTAAATTTATATCAACTGGTTGGGATAACAATTGAATTCTTGAGCAGTAATGCAGTGAAGTTGAATACTCATCCAATCTCTGGGGATTCAGATCTCCTGCAGGCACAAAGAAGCAATTGCAGGCTTGTTGCTGTCCAATCGGCGCTCTCTGGCTAGGTGCCAGGCTGTGCTGTCCGGCTTGCGACGGTATGCTGCTGATGCTCTCTGAAGACTGCTAGTTAGTTTTGGCTTTAACTAGCAAAGTTGTGCTCAGGAGAAAAGATGACTGTGGGTCCCAGCAGGTCAGGAAGAAGACCGGTTCGTTCCTGATGAAGCGCTAGTTCTGAATAGTGATTCAGCTGTCCACAGTTCCGACCTGTTCACGAGGCTTGCTGCTGATGCTAACCTCGGGTGGATCCTCTGGTTACTCGTGGCAACCTCCGCTCTCGACTCTTAGAACAAAGGAAAGTTCTGGCACTCGGACACACTGGCCATTACATGGTTGTCCGGGCTGAGTCTCAGGATGGTCAGGAGGCGCGCTGCGAGAATGTCCTGCCCTTGGGAGCCTTTAGAATTCTCCTACTGGAATAGTCCACTACAGGCTCTCTGTGTTGCCTGGTTTTACCTGGAGGAACTTCAGCTCATTCATTGGCTAAAAGTTTAATGGGCATCAGAGACCCACGTGGATTACTCGACCCTACCAGTCCCTGATTGGTTGATCAAGGTGAGATATGAGTCACTTACTCCTGACACTTAGGAATCCAGTCCAGATGTCCATCTGACACTCCCTAGAGTGACAGGCGCCAATGGATGACCATTGATCATGATAGCCAGGCTTAGCTAAGTGTATCCCCATTTGGGAGCTGTCCCTTATCAAAAGAAAACATCTTTAAATCAGCCTGCATGAATAGCTTCTCTGTGGCTGCACCACAGAGATGAAAAGAGAGATGGGGCCTCATTTGGGAAAGCACAGCAACACTTAATTCTCTCTTATTAACAAACATTGCCGCTACACTTTTCTACATTTAGGCTGATTGAGGCCTTCTGTACATTTGCTAAAATACAGTAGATGTGGACAAGTGCTCTTGTATTCAGCCAGGAACTTTATTGGCTGAGGAAAACTACATTCCCACGAACACTGTCTTTTTCCCTTAAAATTAATGCACTACTGTGCAAAGATTGTAGGCATTTGTTTTTTTTTTGTTTTTTTTTCCTTTACTATTTTCCCTTATTTGCACAAAAACACAATTATGTGGCAAACTCACAAAGAAAGAGATGGTAGGAGTAATAAGGAAAACTTGACAATGAGTCAATTAAGTTTAGTAACTCTGATGGAATAGCAACAACAACACTTCATATTGACTGTTCATATGTAAATTGCCTTGAATTGCTTTAATCACATTTTTGGAAGATTCTGATCAGTGTGAATCAATGATCGCTAAATGTCAAGTTTAGTTTCTTCCCACCTTACCTAAGCTTATTGTTAATATGTCACAGTTGTAATGCTAGAAAACACTAGTGGAGGCCTTATGTAAGTCATTAATTCTCTTAATATCCATAAATTCTTAGTACAGATTGTGTCTAGAATTTTGCGTGACAGTGTACTGTGTGTATATGTTTTAAGAAAGTTAGTGACGGAATAATATTTGAGATACAAAGGTAAACCAAAGAAAATTACAATTACGGAAGTGATTCCATTGTCTTTTTTGGTGGCCTCATACTGTAGATAAACAAGAAACCAAGCTGTTTAGGATTTATGGGCTGTTTCTTCCTAAGATCCTCAATGTCTACACTGCTCATCACTGTCAGTGTAGACATGTCATTCTTTTCAGATGCCAACTCAAGTCACTTACACTTACATTAGGTCCATCCATCTCATTTAGTAAAGTGATGCAGGAGTGCTGATAAAATATTATTAAATAATTATTAAAATATTACAAATAATAAAAGATGATTTCTGAATTGCCAGAAAAAAAAATCTGGTCACATCAAAAGAAGCCCCCCAGACAGAGTCACGGCCTGGCCCATTCTAGAAATATTTAGCTACTCTTTTCTAGTCCTTGCCAAGATGGAAGAATAAATGTATTGGTGAGAAGCCAACATTTTAACCTATTTTATCAGTTATTATCCACATTTATTTACAAAGAAATTATTTTCCATATATAAATAGATGTTTAATTTTATTCTGTGGTAAGATATCAGCAATGCTATTACCCATACCCCAATGAAACCTTCACACATTGCTCACCTGCCTGAAATAATATATTAATAATAAATACATGTTATTAATATATTAATATTAATATACAATAATAAATAATATTCAATATAAAGACACACAAGAGAAAAAGCATCAAGATTTTTTAAAAAGATTTTCCAAAATAACTGACACAAATAGAGCTTGTGTTTGATTCTTTCCTATATGTGGAGGTTAATTTTAATCTCATTGTACCTTGATTGTAGTCTTGTCATGTTGTAACTTGCCTTGAGCCTGTCATCTGTCAGATTAGGACCTGTATTAGTGAGTAACTGCTATACATGGCCATTATTAAAGTATGAAAGGGAGACAAGTTTTTCTCATGGTGATTTTAATGCTACAATGAAATTATCTTAAGAAAAAATCCATCCAAATACAAAACATCTGTTACTGCTGAATTACAGTATACATCCTCCTTCTGTTCATGAAAAGCATTCATGGTAAACAATTGGAAGCAAACCTACAGAAAATATTTAAGTATCCATACATGACATGTGAAACAAAAGAAGCAAATGTTTACGGTAAAGCAATCCAATCCAAGACATGTTAAGTACAGATGTACCTGTTATTTTTTTAGAGGGATTTTGAGGATATTTTACCCATTACATTTCTTTTGGTATTTTTTTCAGGTTTCAGTAAAATAATATAACACTTTGGCATAAAAATACAAAACTGCAAACCAAAACTAGAAGCTAAAATAGCAAATATTTCCACAGCTACTGTGAACTTCCCAGGGGAGCTGATATAAGCTGGGATAAAGGTGATCCAGACAGCACAGAATATGAGCATGCTGAATGTAATGAATTTGGCTTCATTGAAGTTATCAGGTAGATTCCGAGCCAG